ACCAGGACATCATGTGTACTTTCACTACATTACCTAGTGAACGATCGCTGAAAAGTTACTGAGATCGCGGAATGAGTGCGCCACTTTCCAATCTTTCTCGAAGTAGTTAAGCCTAATTTCGCGAATATGCGGATGGTTTCTTGAGTATTTTCTTGTAGAGGAAATCAAGTAGTTCATTTCTAGAAAAATTCCGAACTCGAAAGTCAAATTCTTTCAAGAGCAAAAGAGCCGCGAAAAAATCCGCAATAATTATGCATCAACCTAATAGATTCGTCACGCCTAAAGTTTCGACCGCTAAGTGTTTCTGTTAGTGTGTGTGTATGTGTGTGTGCGTGTGCGTGTGTGCGTGTGGTGTATGTGTGTCCAACCGGAAATTCATACTCCTTCCCGTTTGACCTAAAGCATACAAATTCAGTAAGAGTAGCATTCAGATTTAGAAGGAGCACAAGAGACAGGATGTGAGCACTTATGATAGGCGGCATGATCAGACTTCGCCCTTGGAGGGTGGAGCTGGCTCGAACATGTTATTCTGGCTTAGTGCTCACATTTGCTAGGAATACAGGGATAGGATGGGAACACATTTGCTAGGTTGCACGGCGTGCGTAAAAGAGTGCAATCTCAGTGAATTTCGCGAACAAGTTGGAAAAGAAAGAGGAGAATGAACCAATTCACTTAAACACACACGAGTTGAGCAGAACTCCGCTCAAGACGGGCGAAGCGATCGCGAAGTGTGTCGGGTGTGAGTGTGTCTGTGTTAGCCGAATACTTCTGCTCCTGTTCTACTGTAAGAGAGCATTTGGAGGGAACGTAGGCGAAAGGGCATTTCTCACGAGGATGAGGAGCGCACGGCGTTAGCCGTGCGAACTGTCTAGTGCATTACAAATTCGCATGAAGGGATGGAGGGAGGGAGGGNGGGGGGGGGGGGGGGGGGGGGGGGGGGGGGGGGGGGGGGTTAGAACCGAGAACCGTCTTTATTTGCCTACATCGTAGCCTGGTAATTTTTTTCAAACAAATTTCGAGGAGTTCCTTTCTGTTTCTTTTTGGAAATGTTTTGTGAGCCTGGTTGATCAGGATACCTTCAAAAAGTTGCCAGTAAATTTGAATCGATTATTCGACTGAACCATCCATCCTTTCTCAGAACATCTATTCATTTTCATCCGAGCAACTCTGATGAGCAAGCGATAATGTTCACAGAAAAATAAATGCTGTTAATGTTGAAATATGAGGGAAAAAAAGAAACCACTCACCCCCTTGTACTCGTAGCAACATCCAATTACCACTACTTTGGCAGCTTACTGATCATTGTGAACACTGAAAGCGGATTTCTTAAAAAAGGTATCCAAAATACTAGAAGGTGGGGCTACTGGCGGATATCGAATGTGGAACAAATGATTCAAGGTCGACAAAATTACAAAGCCATCCTAGGAATAAGTCAGTTTTTTTGGTTCATCTCCGATCACTGAAAAAGGTGAGTTCAATGGTTCAGTTGTGGCTGAAGAAGTTCCACAGATATTGATTACATGAGAATTTCTGCGGATGCTCTCGTAATCGACACACATCAAAACTCATTATCAGGCTATGAAGGATGGGCGTCAAGTGACTGACATGTTCCTCAAAACAAATCAATCTGTAGGGCAGAGATATGCATATTAGTATCCACTAAACAACAAGAACATTGAGTAGCTTTTCATTCCCTAATTCATTTCGTTGGTTTCATCTTCGTTCCTGATCGTTTTTTCGGTTGAGGCGAAATGTTGCTGCTTTCGGGTGGCCCGAACTGACTAGCGGCCCGAGTCTTGCTCCTTCCCGCTGCTGACGCGACTGGTGAGCTCTGATGACGCTTACCTCATTTCGACAGGCTGATGGCTTTTTGGAAGTGATGCAATAGTAGCTAAGAAGAAAAGCGTAGATCTCATGTTGTTTCATACGACATCAATCGATGACCACGAAGAGAAGAAAGAAGTTAAAAAGGCAAACTTAGTGGGCCCGGGGGAACCGATCCTGATTTGATCTCCTTATCGTACGTGTGACGCGCCTTTTACCCCTACTACTAACCCTATATTGTATTTTCTTATTGCTCTGTGATTTTTCATAGCTCAGAGCTTTGACTGTAAAAGTTGTGTCTCATCTGTGGTATCTGCGCTATTTCAGAAGATTCCAGTCCGAATACACCAAAGAAGCTCCAGCGTGGGAATGGGGGAAGCTATGTTGCAAGACTCTATGCGAAATGAGACAAAAAATATATCAAAAGTGAGTTCCTTTTTCCCTGTGTTTCATTAATCGTGTACCGCACCTTCAGCGCTTTTTGCGTGTGCAATATTAGTTGTCGAAAGATTCTCACGCTTTTTTTGCCAAAGTTCTTCTACATCTTCATGCATTATAGTGATTTGATTTTGTTCGATCCCCTTCAGCTCTCTCTGCGGATGGAAAAATCCCAGCGAAGCTCGTCATCTTCACAAACGACTATGAATAAGAACGCACCCAAAGAAGAAAATAGTGTAAGCGGCAAACTTCCGACTGTTTGATAGCTTTAATTGAGAGTTAACCTGTTGAATATCTTTACAGTAGCAAACAACTTGCCTCCTTTCAGTTACTGCTTGGAGAAGCTTCGGAAAAGGCATCATTGTCTCGAATTGGAAAGGACCCAGAGTTGTCTGTTATGAGGACTGAAGAGGTGTGAGAATTCGTCATTATTTTTTAACCCTTTTCGTACTTTCTTGCTCATAATTTGCATTGTTTTTATGATAATTGAATTTTGAGCGTGCTGTGGAAACACCCACACAATTTCCCGAACAGCTGAATGACTTCGAGTCAGCTAGGCAACATGGTGAGCTATAACTCATAAAATGGAAAAATTCAACAGGATATTGAATCATTTGGTGTCGAGGATGATACGATTTCTTTAGCGTCTATTCCTTACCTATTTCCCTTCCTTTTCAACTTATTTCAACTTGACATCTTTAGACATATACCCGATTGTTTTGTGGTATGATCCAAATGAATTGTGACCCGTTCCCTTCCAGTAGTCGTTGAAGTGGTCAACTTTGGAAAAAAAGTGCCCTTCTTTGGCTAGAAAACGATTTCATTTTCAATACAAAAAATGATAAAGTCTTTGAGCGTTGATCGATCCCTTTTAAGAGATGCATTCTCCCATCAACTTACATTCGAAATCTTAGTGGAATCGTTGAATGTGCAGGCTATACAATGACTTCTGGTGGCCAATCGATGGGCAATTCTTTATCCTATCTCGTTTATCTACAGTGCTTTAATCCGCCCAGGCGGGTATTGTACCATTTCACCGACCCCGGAGGGATGGAAGGCTTGGTTGGCTTATGCGCATATCAATCCGAGAGTCGTACCTGTGAACGTGTGTGTGTGATAGTGCGCCACTGCCATTATACCACCTCCTCCCTTTCACGTTAGATATGTGATACATAATTTTATGTTTTGTGTTCAAAGAACACATCCATAGTTCCGATCAAAAAAGTTCTGTTTTTAGTACCCCATCGAGAAGATTCTGAAGCTTCCACATCCAATGGACAGAATGCTTCTTTCACTAACACATCTAGTGTCGCAACCATTACGGAGGGAACATCCGAAGACCCATGCAAATGCAACGGCCGTGCCGATATTGAGCATATCTTCAACACCACTCCAGCTAAAATCACACCGGGATTTTTCGAAGAAGTCAAAGATGGGGACGAGGCAGCAAGTTCTATAGCAACGGAAACGCGTCAAGAAATTCTTGATGTTCGTGATGAAAGTACCAAAAACACGAATCTTTCTGGTTACCACAAAGAAGATTCAACTTTGTGTGTATGTTCGGTGGAAGCGAGTTCGTCGAAGCAGCCGTGTGGTTCTGCTGCTGAACATAGCACGAATCGGTCAAGTTTTCGGTGAGCTCTTAACCTGCATAATATCTTTTCATTTTATTCTTATATTTTGTTCTAGTATAGCTGGAAAGGCGAGAACTAAAGGAAAATGGAGGGCACTAGAGAGAAGGAGGAAACTATATTAGAAGCATACTAATGGCTGTAATTTTCTTCTTAATATGCTTCTAATCTAGTTATGAGCACAAAGGAACATGACTTACAAAAACCTGAATTCAAACTGCTCTTGGTTTCAGCCAGCCAGCAATCAAAACATCTACGTCTGATAGCAGTTCAGTCAGTACGCTGAATACTACTAAATCTGTGCGTTTTGAGAATGTTAGGGTTTACTACTTTGCACGAACACAAGGAACTTCTACTGTGCCGAAGACTGGCAATGTTTCNGTTATTCATTCATCAGTCGTTTGCTTTACACTAGCCCTATAAAGTGGCAGTATTATACACTTTGTTTTTGGTTTGATCTCACCCAAGTCCTTTTCGATTCATGAATTAAGACAACTTGTGTTGATGACATTTTCCATTTGCATCTCTCCTTCAACACTTCATCCCCCAGTAATGCTATCAATCCAAATAAAACGCTTTCCCTCACTGCATGGTCACGCAGGCTCATCCTTTGAATGCGTTTCTTTTCCTAGCTAGCATGAACTATTTGTTCCTTTTTAAACCAGTTGTTGCTGATCAGATTCAAGCCTAAGTGCATACAGGTATGGTAGACAAGCACTTCACAGAACGACAATTTCCCCTCTGGTTTGGTCGACGTCCAGAATTGGCGCTCACTCATGACAAAGAGGTAAAACTTTTTTTTGAAGAACAAAAGCAAGTTTTAAGAACCATCGGTCTCTGTTGAATTGATTTATTTTGATCTAGTGAGTTCACAGTGTCATGGTACAATTGAAAAATCGTGATTACGTTCTGAAATTCAAGGAAGGTCTATCACTCGATGACCATTCTCTTTTCGACCCTGAAGGACACGAACGCTGTACAACATATCAACTACCGACGCTGGAAGGGAAAGTTCGCATGAAGATGTTGAAACGCTCAGGAGTTCAAGTTCAAAAGGTTTTTCGCATGTTTTCATTTGAAAATATTTGAACTCTGCTATTATACTTTGAGGTCTGACAGCTTTATTCAAATTCAGTACAACCATGCTTCTTATTTCAGGATGAAGGCTTGGAAAGTCTGGAATCGATTCGCCAATCGCGCTTGTTGTGTGGATGTATGTGTGAGAACGGCATTTGTAAACCAGAGACTTGCCAGTGTGCCATCGAGGGAATTGTTTGTCAGGTAAACTTTTGAATAGAATTTTTTTTATTTTTTAGTATTTCATGAAAAATTTCAAGAAATTATGTGTTGCAAGCAACATAGTTTAGATTCGGTCGGTCTATTGAAACGAGTTGGATTGAATTCTTTGAGGATTGTATTGAAACTCAGGGTAATGTGCACTGCTGCGATGTCATTGGCTTGACTTCGTAAAGACGTTTGTCAGAGTCACATTCACATGAAATGTTCATTTATAGGTTATAAGCTTTCTGATTTCACCGAGTGTTACGGCATATTCCCACTTACCTCCTGGTTCATTATTCCAGATTGAATTTGTCCTAGTGTTTTCCGGTGTTAGTTAGATTGTAAGGGTTCTGTGCAAACACCTTTCACTAGTTCCTTTCAAATCTTCACTGCTTACTTGGTAGAAGCTCAATGAAATTGGGATTGTATTAAAGGTATGTAAGGGTGATATGTAAAGTTATGCGCTTGGTTCCTTCCTGCAAACTGTATTCGGTTCGTGAGTACTCTGTTAATCATGGCATGGTCAATTTTGGAATGGTGTCCACTCGTTCCGGATTTCACCTACTCATAGATAATTTCGTGAATTCCGCGACAGGCACATATGCATGTAGACACATGTGACACACAGGCATAGCGCTTTACGTGTGCTAAGGCTAACTTATAACTTACAAAATTTAGGTTGATGGTGTTGACGAGTCTGGCACTTCTCATCCTTGTTTGTGCACTTCGTCCAGCTGCCGAAACCCCGAAGGTCGCATCGAATTCGATGCGTCGAATGTGAAGAATCATTGTCGTATGACCATTTTGCGAACGAAGCACGCGGAACAAGTGGTAATATCGCAACTACCTAATTTGTCATGAAATTTCAATTGCAATATATTACGTCTTACTCCATAGCATTCCTTTTTTGATTGAGGGTTGGATGTGATTAACTGATTACCGCACTGTCCTTTCTACAATGCGGTGAATAATCCAGCTCAAAGGCTTAGTTCATGTTGAAATTGGTTCCTCAGATCTTTTTCTCAGCCAAATCTGTGCTCTCCAAAGATAGCCTAAGAAACACTGTCTAGTCGAGAAACTGCCTGGATAGGTCGTAATAAGTGACCTAAGCCGGCTTAGCCGACGCACAAATCCAAGACGGATGAGTTCTGAAGCATTTCGCACCGGGACTCACATCTTGCACGCAGACAGCTTACTGCAACCAGCTGTATGTAGTGGCGTGCACATTTGAATAGCTCGTCCAGAAACCTCTTCCATGCTGCAGTATCTGTCATAACATTCTCTTCCAATCCCTGATTTCACTTTTTTCGAGGCCTCATTGTTCTCTGAGTTCGCCGATTTACACGTTTCTTCGCCACTTCTTCACTATGCTAGACTGTCACTTTAATTATCCGTCTAAAACTAGATACCCCGAAATTATCTGAACTGTGCTCTTAACGAAGGACTGAGGCGAATGTAAGCACGAGAGTCCTATAGAGGGGGTAATCATGAAGGGCAATTTACCAGCAGGCCGTAGCAACGGCGACGGTTCTTGGAAAAGGATAGACGTTCAATCGCTCTAACGGAACGTCCCCTCCGTCTCCTCATCCACGTCAACCCGCATCCATCACCTACATCCATCGCTTTTCTTTTAAAATGTTCCCAAATTTTCTGCTGTCCGTTGCCGTCAACAGGCGTAGTTCTCGAGCCATTGTTTTGAATATAAATAACCAAACACAACCTGATCTTTTGGATCTTGGTTTTTCAGGGATTGTACGACTCTCCGCAGCGAATACGTTTCAATTCTGAGGGGGAACCACAATCTGCTACTCAAATATGCCCTCTACAGGAAAAGGTGCAGTTGCACTCCATGCCTTAAAATAATTTATTTCGAGTTACTTGCTAAATATGTGTTGAGCTCTATTACAGAAAACTCCCGCAAATAATGATAAGGACTATCGTCAGCAGGGCTGCTTGGAGGTTATGGATGATCCACCGACTCGGCGATTTCCTGTAACGCCTGTTTACAAGAGGGCTAAGCACAAGCGGTTAGTTGAGATCTATTTTATTTTTGTCTTTATTTCGGCGATTCAGTTGGTTCAGTTGTGTGTATTCAGAAGTTTACGAGTGGAGCTCGCGGCAGATACCAATTCAAATGTGGCTGAAAGCGAAATCAAATCCTCTCCTCAAGTTTGAAAAGGTTATTTAGAGGCGTAGGTTAGCTTTAGCGGGGCGAGGCCTCTTTACGTTTGTCTGACATTAATGATATTGGTGCTTACGTGATACCTTATTAACTTGTGCTTTGCTTTCCTTAAGCGCGCTGTTCATCTTCTTACCGGTCCTCTGTAACTTTGCACTTGTCGCATGGTTGCAACTACTTGTGCAGGAAACTGTTGCTCACATTTTTTTGGGAGGATTGACCGTTTTGTGGCATTCTCTCTCGTAACACTTTGACGGTTATATGAATATCAAATGAATATTTGTCATTTAAAAGTCATCGACAACTAATCGTTTTGTGGCATTCTCTTTCTTAACACTTTGACAGTTCTGAATATCAAATGAATATATCTCTTTCAAAAGTCAGTGGCATATGTCTGAGCTCGCCTTAAATGTATGAATTAGCTCGTCTTTTGAATGCTCATTTCTTCAGTACTACTAAAAGGTCTAATAAAAATTCTCAATTGTTCGATTTCTTGTGGCTATCCAGTCTGGGCCGCCAGAGTACATGAGAATAACTATCTACTGCTATCTCAGCGAACTACGTGAGAATTGTTTATCGAAAGCCTCGTTGTGTCGCGATGATGATAAACCAATTTTTTCATTGTTTCACGGTTGCAGAAAATTTCAGTGTCCTTGAGCCAAACCATATCTCATCTCTGCAGAGCAGAAGGTGCTGAAGTCTCGCGAAGGAGGAGGTGTTGCTCGGAGTCACTATTAGAAGGTGGTTTTATTTTTGCTCATTTCAAGTAACGGCCCTACAGCGAAGTATATTAGCTGATAGTAATCGCCGTAGATATTCGATTCGTTCTCGCCTAATAAGTGAATAATTGTTACCAGCGTTGATAAGTGCTAATAGTATTTGCTTAACCCATTGGCGACCGCGCCTTTTTAGCGTGTCTGGCGTGTGGGACCGAGCGCGTTTTTCGCGGGCTCTGTCTGTGGCCCGCCGGCGGGCCACACGGTCCCAGGAGCAATCTTACTTTTTGTGTACACTTTCACCAAACAAAAAATTTTATAAAAATGGCAAGGAAGAAAAGATAAGTTGTACACAACAAACAGTGCTGTCGTTATGGCATCCATTGTTGTTTTTTAGTGTTCTAAAAGATATAGGAAACTTCTACAAACTTGTCTCTAAATGTGCCCTAGATCCGACTCCATCGAAACTCAGAGAAACATATAAAATCAGAATGGCTTATTTCAAATCATCGGCTATACTGTGGCGATCTATGACTTACAAATTTGGGAAAGGCGATGAAAAAACACACTTTCATCTAACATCACTTTCATCATAGAACAGCTGTAAATTTCTTCGGCACAGAAAAGCTGTATGAACTTCGTAAGAATTTAGAAAAGAGCTGAACATCTGAGCTTTACTTTGGAATTCTTCAGAAGCAGCCACCTGTGAAGACCGGATATAAATGCCCGAGCCTGACACCCGTCCAATCATGGTTTTATTCATATTCCCTTCGCTTTAGTAGTTTAGTATTTTGCAATCGAGTGGATTCGCTGGTGCATTTATCCAAGCTTGAGGTCCCTTACAATATGTAAGGTACCTCAAGCTTGCTTACTTACACCAGCAATAATTCTAACTTTTTACGCCACAATCGCCAACTTGTAAGCCTCGTAATGGCGGCGAATAAGGTGTAAAAATTGGGATTATTCTATCGCTCGATCCTTCCAAGTAAGCTACAAAGGAAGGGTAACTTTGCACCCCTTCATGCATGAATTATGGTTAAAATTATATTTTTCCCTAGGATGGTGGATTCCAATTATTATGATGATGCCGATCTGGACGAACACTTTCGAGATTTACTGTTGGACTCCGACGCTGAAAACGAAGGCGGCGATACAGATGATTCACAGGATTCGCAGGCAATTTTTCCCTCAACAGAAGAGTCTACTTCAGATTCCAGTTCGGTGACGACACTTGACAGCGAAGACAGTGGCACCGAAAAATGGATAAGTGATGTTGAAGCTGACACCAGGTGGGACTTCACTCAGCAACATGGGCCGAACAATGCGGTGTCAATGTGTTCTGCTCCGATAGATTTCTTCCAATTATTCATCGACGACAATCTTCTGACGCTTATAGGAACGGAAACAAATAGATACGGGTCGCACAAGGACTCTAGCTTCGTGGACACTAATAAAGAAGAGCTGAAGAAGTTCATCGCACTGTGCATTCAGATGGGACTTGTGAAAATGCCCAGACTACGGGACTATATGCCATGAACCATGCAAAAAAAGACTCGACAAAGTGCGACAAATGCCACGAATACTTTTGTTTGGAATGTTTTCTGAGTTAACATAAGAAGTGCATGTAACTTATCAGTTTAAAAACTTTGGTCTTGCTCCTTTATCGCTGCCCTCAGAGATACTTTTGTTTTCTGTCATTACTATAGACGGAAGTCAAAAATACGCGGACCACTGCGCCTCAAGATTCTATAGAGGGTCATAATCCTGCTTTATACTCGAAAGCGTCAAAAAAATTGAAAGTGAATGTTATACATGAAAAATACTACTGTGGCCCATATACGGGCCACGCGGTCCCAGGAGCACGATATGGTGTGGCCCGTCTACGGGCCACGCGGTCGTCAATGGGTTAAAAAAGTCGCCTATTCCTACTATAACTTTTGCACTCCTTATATAACTGTGCTCCTGACCGACGTGACCTAGCACTTATTTCTCACTCGAAGGGACATCTGAGCGGCATCTCTCCAGTTAAGGCTTCGACTTTTGGCTTCTTGTGAGCATTAAGTTGTTCGTAGCGGGGTCTTCACTGAGCAGAGGCTTTCTGCGTTTCCTATTTGTTCATACATCTCATTATTCTTTATTTCTTCCTGTTGGTGGAAAACTTCGTTTGGTACGTGAACACACAAACCTATTTCCGGATTCTGCAACTCTGGATCGTCTTATGGGTTTCAAACAGCTCTCATTCAGAAGAAAAATGATGTAAGTGATGCTGTGTAAGCTAGACGGTAGTTATATGACATTCATGACTCATCTGACCATTCCGGATCGGAGCGGGGAAGATGCAAGCTGTCGAGGAGTCGGCCCAAGACTTGACCGAAGGACTGCCGCCTTTGTACAGTTCCCTCACATCTTGGGCCGACTCCTCGACAGCTTCCATCTTCCTCGCTCCGCCCCAAGATGTGAGAGAACTGTATAAAGGCGACCGTCCTTCGGCCAATTCTTGGGCCGACTCCTCGACAGCTTCCATCTTCCTCGCTCCGCCTTGAAATAGTGAGTCATGAATGTCGTCTAACTACCGTCTAGCTTATACAGCATCACTTACAATGAGAAGTGATGCAACGGAAGAAACGATGTGATAATGGGATATAATAATGATCAGCAAAATACTTCGTGGCCAAGTTATGATTCGCTGTAGTGATTTGGTTCGTATAATGTCATCCATAGTGGAGGAAACCTGAAATTCAGAACTTAAGCGCAAATTCCTTTTAAATCGCGTTGGATCAGTGTACATTCGTTTAAGTAAGCATGATTTCTCCCTAAATCGACAAATGCTCTCATAGCCCATCTCAGTGGAATACCTCAAGCCCTAGCGGATTCTGATTTGAGTTATATTTTCGAAATTTGTGTTTTTGTGCGTTTCTTGCTGTGCTTGTGTTTTTGTTGCCATTTGAGAGCTACACTTGCTTGACATGTGATACAATAGTTGTCTTTCTGTGAAAGAATACGTTCGATTTTCATCTGTGATGGGCCGTTCATGAAACTCCGACCCTCCGTTTTGAATACTTTTCATTTTCAAATCATATTGTCCACACGGTAAAAGGGTTAATAGGATGCAAACAATGAAGAATACTGTACTGTGCCCAGTATCAGCAGTACATCGGGCGCGGATGACCCTTTCCATTTTTCTTTCCAGAGTTTCTCTTAGTCGAATCCTTCACAATGGCCTCAATTGCGTAGTCACGCGTAGAATCTAGCAGCAGCTTGGAGCGTCCCAACCAGTGCAAGACAAAACCCCATGAGACTTGTTGCTTTGTTGGTTACGTCGCTCAAGTTCGAAATGAAAAATCGTGAGCAAATGCAGGGTGACGTTTCCAACCCTCTCTGACCTTCGAAAATACGTAAAAAGGAATATCCTGGGTGTAATCGTGAGTTACAGTACAGCTTTTTAGCATCTTGTTCATCTTGTCTACCAGCTGATTCGCTTATTGTTATTGTTTACCTCCTACGGATCGATTACCATTTAAATGGCCGATGAGCCTTCGCACATTGGAGGAGGCTGCGCACTCTGAAACCCTTCTGCTTTGAACTGATTGCTCAAGAAAGCGAAGTCCTCAAGCACCAGAACACGAGAGGATTACATGGCTCGGAACTTGCCGCAATACCGCATAACCTGCAAGGACGATCTGCTCACAAGGACTACGTATAGAAGGGAATCACTAGAATAGAAATGTTTAGACTGACAGTGGGCCATGGTTCCAAGCGACGACTTATAAAAACTAGGCCGTAGCGGTGCAAAACTAGATAGCGGATCTGGGTTGAGGTCTCAGTCTTCCATTCTCTTCTTAACCATTGCACTCGTTGTCAATCATAAAAAACGTTAATGAGAACCTGTATTTTGTTGCCAGAAATGCAAGTAATTATCTGTTTGTGAATACGATTGCAGATTTGCTGCTTTGCAGGAATGGTGGTTGACGAGAAGGTGGAGAGTGACTTCGTATACGGACGCCTGAAACTGGAAGTACCTTACGGGGGAGATGCAATTGAGCCTCCTCATGCGTTAGTTCAGAAGGAGCTGCTCAAGAAAGTGAGCTTATTTACTTCGACATTCAAAAGGGCATTCATAGCGAACACCAGATTACTGATGATCATGCTTGTCGTTTTCACATCTACGGATATCGTCTCTCATTTACCTCCAACGGCTATGGTTACGCTCTCAGTGCCAACTCTTCCGTCGGCTAGGGTTTTGATGAAATGTATCTCTTTCTTTTTGACTCAATGTCACTTAATTATGTTTAATTTTCAGTTATCCCAAATTTTATGACACAAGATTGTCGATCATCTCAAAACTCAAGATAAAATCGAGCACCTTCAAGCGTTCTTCTTAGTTTTGAACTTTTGATTTGAGTGCAGCATGAGTCACCGACAGAGAGCCAGGCAAATCAGATTTCACCGTCGAGTGAACGTGTGATACAGCATATTCCCATCACAAGTCCCATGTGCCTCACCCTGAGTACCTTTTTGTTGCGTCGTATATGTGACGGATGCTTAGAGGGGCTCGAGTATACTTTCTGGTTACTGTATAACACATTCGCGAGACTTTGAACTCCATCTTGTAAGGGACAGTCCGAGTGGTGCCTGCGCCGTCATCAATTATGAATGCAACATGTCCCCCTTCTCACATTCAGTTTTTTCTTCTTCACTTGATTACTACCGATTTAGAGTTTTGAAGAGAACGGTATTTTCATCGAAGGCGAACGCGACGAACTACTCGAAGAACCCGGGTGTGAAAAGTTTCGAGTTTATAATTTTGAGGTGGGTTGGATTTGAATAATCACATTACATATTCATCGTTGTTTGTTTTCATAACTCCTCACACGCATGTAATTTTATAAACTCATAGGGTATAGAAATTTGAGGGTTTCATGCTGAACTAACAGGCGTTTAAGGAAGATCACAGGGTGAGTTGGTCATTTTGTCGATAACAGACTTGTACTCTAGGGTACTTGTAAAGTTGCCTGTATGCCTTAAGTACATCACTTGTCCCGGATTGATACCAGCCAGACTAGCCAAGCGTTCTCCATCTCTCCGGTTGATTGTCGCCGCACTCGTTTAGCATGGTAGAAGCGCTGACGTGTGCGTTGGGTGGGTACTGCGAGTTCAGGCCACATAATGCGGTGGTCACCAAAGTATAAATAAGCGGTTTCATTCCAGAGGATGAAACGCTCTTGTTGGGGCGGGATTCGATCCTATAGCCATGTACGAGGTAGTGGTGGTAACGGTAAATTGCATCATACAGTTGTGTAAATCTTTAGTACCGTGGCTTACTGGATAAGGTGGTGAAAGTGCTCACCTTGGGTGATCTGGACGATTGCAAGTACTAGCAATGTCATTAGAGAAAGGATCTAATCTAGGTAGTGTAATGCTGTAGGTTTCTCTTTTGCAATTCTAACGACGCCTACTAGTAAAAGCTTCCTCTAATGATGCTCAAGGTTTTCGAACTTGAATGAGGACTGCAGGCTGACAGTTTCAAAAATATCTATCGTATCTATCGGGAAAATAGAAAATTTTTCGTTGAGCGATTTGAATGCAGTTGTGGAAGACCTAGTTTTTTCAATGGTGTCGTGCTCCAAAGACAGGCAGTATGCTTGTGCACTCTTGGGAACTTATACTTCCTTTTGTATGATCACAGCATTGTTTAAACTACGTCTGCTTGGGAACTTATACGTCCTCTCGTGTGGTCACAGCGTTGTTTAAACTACGTCTTCCTCGTGCTATACTATGCGCTGAACTACTGGACAAAAAATTTCTGCTTTCCGATAGTTATTTCTGCACCTGCCACCGTGCATTGCTTTCCGATAGTTATTTCTGCACCTGCCACCGTGCATTTTTAATACCAGTTCGGGAAACTAGGCATCATCATGAGGAAATTTTCACTAGGAATCGTTGTTTTGATGACGATCGATTTTTTTTCAATTCTCTTGTCGAAATATTTCTCTTTGTCATCTTAATACTTATTATGTAATTTGAGCCGAATGTGCTAATAGCAGTTTTCAGAAAAAAGACTGCTTTTGCTTTTTTCGTTCTGTACAGAACATTCAGTAAAGTAAAGTAAAACAAATTTGCACGTTTGTCTTCGAACGTTCCTTCTCTAACTAAGGCAGTAAAAACCTTTACGAGGAAGGCTTGCCATATGTTGGTTATCTTAATTGTTGAGACGGGAGCTAGAGTTGATGTAATGAACCGCTATCCGATTTCTTTTATTTCAGGTTAAAAGCTGCTTATTCGCAAAACACTTATTACCCGCAATTCGAAGGTTTCTGAACGATATTCAAACACAACAACTGCCTCACTTCTACAAAGCTACTGTGATCATTCACTCGACTTCTTGCTTTTCAAATCGCCTAGTGTTGGTTTCATTATTTCTCCAGGTTTTCCCCCCAAAAACCTATGTTTTGCAGATCATGTCATAGATACGTTCCATTGGATGCTGTCTACTTTGGAAATATACAAGGTGGTGTTTTCATCAATCATTGGGAGGTAAGCTCTAGCAATTTCTAGCTTCAAAATAGTAATGATTCTGATTCCTTCAATCAAATAAAGCAATCCTGTTGAAGAAAAATGGTCAGTTATTTTTATAACGAGGGTGTCCCATAAGTTTCTGAACAGCTTGTATTAAAAAGTTTGTTTCTGCGTTTTCAGGTTAGTTTATCATAGGAATCAGGCGGAATCATCATTACTTGTTCCTGCCTTTGTTGACAGTACTCTTTTTCTTCTTTTTTCTTCTCTTTTCTTTTTCTTTTCGTTTATAACGTCTATCCACCTTTGCTCCTTTATCACTACCCTCAAACTTTTCTCTCGAGTGGTCGCTTCCCTTGAGCTTCGAACTCCATTGCTCCTCTTATGTGATGATCTCATATTCTTCGCAGCACGTCCCCATGTCGTCAAAGGGACTGTTCTCTCATCTTCAGCCGGGTAGAAGCTGTCCGCATGTCAGTCCTGACGTTCTCGTTTCTAACCTTTCCCAATCTGTGCCCAACAACAAGCCCATCTCAAAATTCTAATTTCTGCGAAGTGAAGTGGCCTATAAAATTTAAAATTATTGTTTTTGTTTTTATATTTCCTGCCTGCTGGCCGCACCGGCACTCACCGCAGTAGAGCATAGTGGGCCTCACCACTGCTCTGTAAACGTCTCCTTGATGCTTCTCTGAACCACGCCGAGCGAGAAGAAGGAACCAGACTCCCTCCACTTCATCTATACTGCACTTCATCGAGCGTTTACGGACTGATCCACGTTATCGTCAACCAATGTCTAGTTCTTTTTTCAGTGCGTCACTGTTTACGATTGGCTTTCGCAGTTCTCAGCTGAGAAACATGGTCTGCTTCGCCCTAAGCCGGCGCTCATTCTTGTCAGCACTCTTTGACATTTCTGCAGCTCATACTAAAAATTTCCTTGCTCTCTACTATCAGAGCGATCCCATCAGCGAGAGAATAGTCTTCAATGGTTCTTCCACGAGCCTTTCTATGTTTATCTCCAGAGTTAATAAGTGGAGAGTGGGCTCAGAGCTGNCAACAACAGGGACGTCTACTGCTTTTGTGAAGCCCTGAGGTGTGCGTAATGTTTTTCGAACCCATCCTGCATAGATATGTATAGCCAGGAAGGTCAGGTGTTATAGAATGTTTCGTTTGCGACACGCTCCTCGAAGGACTTTTCGCGGTGGATGGTTGAACGCTACCTCCAAATCGAGGAAGGCCCAGAGATGGGCCAGACACTTTCCTCGATAATTCTCAATCACTTGCCTAGCTATGAAGATTTCATCAATTTTGGACCTTCAAGACATGAATCTGGACTCTTTTTCTTGAGATCGGAACCATTCACCCGATCTCGGGTTGATTAGCCGATAGCACAGTTTCGTGGTATGTATGGTCAACCTGGTCCCACAATAGTTGGAACCATCCATCGCGCCCTTTCTGCTTGAACATGTTAACGATAGTGTTGCTCTTTCTACGTCTAGAATTCTCCCTTAGCAGTTGCAGTGTTCACGGACCGGCGAAGCCGCCTGTTTCTCGTGCTCGCCAAGCTCCTACCATGCCTCATCGGTGTTTCATTGGGATGTACCGATTTTCCACTCTTCATCTTCCTATTATTCAATGGGCCTCATCCTCAGTCCACACTGCAGCCTGTGCAGTGGTACTATGCTTCCATTTATAGGCCCCTTTTGCAGGAAATTTATTCAGCTGAAGAGTCTGTCGAAGTTATTCCCCGCCTGCGCTTAGCCACGGCTAGCTTACCCAGCCTATAGCCGCCGTTATCCTCGGGCCTTGACTACCCTGCTGTGTCGTGTAGTTCGATGTCAGACATTTGCCAACTGAAAGACAAACTTTTCTCCTTTTCCATCGAATACAAACCGTCTGGCGGTTCCGCATTCTCTGCCTTCGCTATGACAGCTTTTGCAAATCTCTCGCAAAGATTGAATACTTCTTGGGCTTGAGCAGCTTGCGGATCTCGCCTACGCTCGAACGCTTATCTCTTGTGCTTCCCCAGCAACTGAACTTCATCATTGGACAACCACACTGCCTTTTCTCCTCTGAACCCACCCCGTGAATCCTCTGAACTCAACCCCCTTCGGGGTTTCTCGTGCTCACGGGAGGGTGATCTCCATTGCATTCTTATCTGCATGATGGGCCGGTCTTCGAGAATTTTAGAGGCAAGCTTTCAATAATCTTCATTTGAAGTCTTCCTTTTCAGCTTGGTACAGCTTCCACGACCAAATTCTCTATCCGTTCTGACCCTTACTTTCTTGGAAAGGTCCATAGGTATGCGTGCCAGGAATGCCCTGTGCTGCGTAACCTATCCTTCGCCCATCAGTACCCATTAGCCAGTACTGACGCTGTTTTCTTGAGACAATATGTCTGAGTACCGATTTTTGTAAACTGTAAATTTAATGGCAAACGAAAATCATCATCCCACAATATATCTCAAAAGAGGTGAAGGAGCAATTAATTTTTGCTGCAAATGTATCGTTAGAAGAAATTTCACCTCAAAAAAACGAAGGGCACGCAACCCAACTCGCAACCCCGATCTGATGGTTCGAGATCGCTGTGTCAGAAGAAAATCCAACTGTCACAGCATCAGGGCTTGATGAAGTTCAGTGAAGCGCTTCTGCTGCAGTAGGCACTTGCCGGCTATTCTTGTCGGTGTCCGTATAGGCAACAAGGTTGTTGGGACTCTTTTCTTGTGGGGATGATGTCGATCTGCATTGGATTAATTGTGTAACTGTATCAGCGTCTGAGAAGAAAAAAAAGTTTTCAGTTGGTAAAGTAACTAAAGTTACAGATAACTAAAGTTGATCCCATAAACATTCCACTTGAACTTACTCAAGATGTTCAGGCCAACATTTTACACTTCTTTATGCATAACTAGCCCTTTTTCGTTGTTTGACTATGAACTGCATTTGTTATTTGATGGGCAGGGAAGAATGAGCACAGTTTTTATTGTAAGAACTTTTAAGGTATCATTCCGAGGCGAAAGTGATTCAAGCGAGCTGAAGGGGACGATGCATGTTGATTTCCTATATGATCAGAATGAATTGATTTGTGTACGATTTGAAAACAAAGGGGAGTATGCAAGTAAGGTTTCGTTCAACAACATTCTTAGGTGTGACGTTTATGCCGTTATTATTTTCTTCCCAATTACCTTCATCCCGCGCGTTCACCACTAGAAGTCCCGTAATGGAATCGTAGCAGTTTCTGACGGTTTACCTTAGTAAGTAATGGTGATTCTAGTTGCGTTCATCAATGGCACAGTTTACGATGAGAAAGTCATTTTTTAAACATTCAGCTAGGTAGAACCTGTAGCTCCCAAACGTGGAATATGTGTCGCTGAAAGGTCAAAAAACGGACTAGATAAGGCGCAGTAAGTGCTAAAAAAGCCAGCTCCGTCGACGTCCACACCCCAATTCGGGCATGGGAACAATAGCGTCAAAGAAGTTGCATCATTCTTAAGGATACAGCCCCCAATAATTTTGAGGTACCCCTCTTAGTCGAAAAGCGCAAGTGTAGGGAGGGAATAGTTCATCGGTAGTAAAGCAAGCGAAAAAAAGCCGATTTGGAGAAAAATAAGGCTTCACAAAGGTAGGGATAATAGGGGTTGGACGAGATTACCATGGCGAAAATAACATGGAAGGGGTATTCGGACGAGATCTCAGTTATTGCAATTGCGCAAAGAACTGACTACATCAAGCCAGAACTGTGCAGAACTACCTTGCCCTGTCACTATGGGTCATGACAAGTTGTCTTATCTCCCTTGATTGGCTTCCTTGCTATTGACACAGCCTCTACTATGCCGGTAGAACTCGTCCGAGGATGCGCACGGGACAATCCTTGAGCCTTTACAACCCCTCACTAGTCCTTTTTCCGGCCGGATAGCACCAGATATGGTATACGAGGAGGCTACAAATTCATCCTATGGATAAATCTCAGAAATCATTGTTATCGATAACCGTGCTTTCAGAAGAAAAAAAGGTTGGTGGAAAATAGTGCAACGGTGGCAAAAAAAGACGCGGGAAATTCAAGGCCCCCTGAATGTAATTATGTAGTTAAGATAAGGGTTGGAACGAGATACCATTACGGAATTTTCAAAATGCTGCTCTCTCTGAACCTCATTCGGACTGGTTATAGTCGTCTTCCATGGGTACTCTCTGAAGCTCTTGACTCCTCACTGCACGACGGGAGTGTTATAGAAGTATATGGACGAAGTTCAGTCGTGTGCAGTTGCTTAAAAAGCTGGTTACAACGAGCCAAAAATGCTGCTTTTATTGCCATGGGTCACGATTGCTTCTTTGATTTTTTTACATCTGTAGCCACTGTCAATGGTGCAGTCTCTACAGCGCCGTTCCAACAGGCCCGCCTTTGATATGGGCCTTGACGAAGACGCCCTTTCACCCCTTATTGCATCCTATTTAGGTCGTTGTTCGACCCGATAGCGCCCACTCGAGCATGCTTAGGAGCCACAGCTTTGGCACGGATGAATATTCAAACTATTCCTATTTCCCTTCCATACAATTTAGGCATGGCTTCCCCTACAACTCCCTATTTCATCTCTTTCAAGAATTTCATAATGCTTTGCGAATTTACGAATCTCTCACTTCCTTCACCACCATCCCTTCCGCTTTTGACTTGAAAGGGTTGTCACAAAATTATCGGGAACCGTGCCTTGCAGCGTAAGTAATCTCAGGATTTTTCTCCTTCTTGTCCTGCTACGTGGTCCTTCTCTGTTNCACTGCCATTCTGTGGGTTTCATAACTCTTGAATCTAGAGTTTCGGAGCAGGAGCGAGATGACTCATGTCTCTTCCAGAAATCTCGTTTACTTGGGATAGATGACCCTCGAGGGAACCTTTTCAACAAAAGTTTCGCGGAACGGCGTAATAGTGATGGTCTCAGTAATAAAACTGCTCGTCATAAAGTGTAAATCTAGCATTCCAATGGACATTGACTTCTAGTGTTATAGAGAATTCCAATGTCGATGGAAAGAAGTGTGGCTCTGGGGTCGCCCACTATCAAATAACCGTGAGTTCTTTGGAAACACTCTTCATGCCTACTATGCAAGCTAAGTGCCTTTAAGCTATCAAATTTCCATGCTTATTGTTAGTTTTCTCACCATTTTCTGTGCTGCGGCAATCTATCTAAGCACTGGATGTCATTGCGGTGCAGTAACATTTAATGGGTGGCGAGGACATGCATTCGATGGTAGCGTGAAGTTGTGTAGCAATGCTGAAGTTCTTTCTGGGGCTGGACATGCTACTGGGTTTGAATCATGAGTTAATACCCTCCCGTTTCAAGTTTTCCATCTGGTCGGGGTTAGTTGATTGGTGCCAAACTTGTCATGGAGGGCAAAAGCACTGACTTGTGCAGCGGCACTACTTCACAAATCATAGTCTAGACCTGATATATCTCAAAAGCAGTAATGATCAATACTTAAACTATTATTTTTTTTACACTTCTGGTTTTCATGTATCTCCTGATCGTTGAAGTGGGATGTGATGTTTCGAAGAGTAAGCAATTTTGACCTTTCCCGTTTTTTTCTAAATTTAAGTGATCAATTGATGAGTTCGATAAGAACCAAACATATATTCGGTATGGCAAAAGAATTCTATTTCGAACGATATATAATTTCGCGGTAGAAATATTTTGTAAGCCAGGTACAACTCATTTTGAAAGGAAAAAAAAACGGAACATACCTACCAACCTAGTAATTGTTCACTTCTGCTTGACCATCCAACAAAGTCGGCCTGGTCTCATTTGTAAGATGCCTAGCGTACAATCACTCGTTAGTCGTAGCCTTGTTGTGTTTCGCATAACTATAAGGTTGATGCATAATTATTGCGGATTTTTTCGCGGCTTTTTTTCTCTCGATAGGATGTGATTATTGAGTTCGGGTTTTTTTAGAATTGATCTGCTTGATACAAAAATATTATAGAAAACCGTCCGCATATTCGCGAAATTAGGCTCTACTACTTCGAGAAAGATTGGAAGGTTGCAGAGTCATTCCGCGATCTCAGTAACTTTTCGGCGATGGGACAATCAAGCAAAGCCAACCAAGAAATGGGATCTGCTCCTAAATCTGCCATATTCACCAGCAGAAACTTCTATGGATTACTTTGTCCACCGTTCCTGAAAAAATGGCTAGGGAATAGAAGTTACGTCGATTTGGATGATTTGATGGCCGATGTCGAGGCGTGGTTCGCCCCCAAGGATCAAACTTCTTCGCTTCTGGAATCCGACCATCTAACTTCTTCGCTTCTGGAATCCGACCATCTAACTTCTTCGCTTCTGGAATCCGACTATCTAGTCAATGGGAAGCAGTGCTTGACGTAGATGGTGAATAAGTTCCGGAGTAACAATTTGAACATGTTTCTGTTCAGCATTTTTATCGATTCGTTAAATAAAATTTGTTGAAAAAATCCGCAATAATTATGCATCAATCTAATATGAGACGGCACCGCGGCAGACGATCGCCTTTCTTTTTGTTGCTGGGTTTCGACGTTAACTACTGTTATTGCCTCGGGGGCGTTATGCTCGGCTATCGCCAAGATGAAAATTAATGTGATGGGGAACTAGTTGGGACCAAAAAAGCGAGAATTTCTTGTATCCACTTTTTTCAAACATATTGCTACACCTTGCTTGAGCTTTGTTTTAATTTGTTATTTGCCTTTAGCTGCGACTTGGCTTTATACGTCGTATAATTGTCGACAATGCCGTCACTGATAAATATGGCAAGGATCGAACAAGAATACATTTTGAACTGAATTGCCCTGTGGTCATACGGAGAGGTCGTGAATTCGAGAGTGAAAAGGTTTTGCTGGCTGTGTGAAGGAACTTTTACATTGAATCGTCTGATATTTTTCTAAGAAAACTCCTTTTAGAAAAGTTTGACATACATCAAGTTTGAGCGGTGGCTTACTGTAAGGAGAGGTCGCAACTCATTTGAAAAACCTCACCATCTAGCAATTGCTGATAGTCCTTTTTTCACGATTGAGTTCGGCGAGGTACTTTCGGTGAGTACTACTAGTTATTTGCTTTTATGAAATGAGTCAGTATCATACAAACTGTGTAAATGTCCGATTTGCTGAAGCCTTGAGGACCCCTCAGTACTGTAGTTGACTTCTTCATTTTAGAGTCGCCATGTACGGCTTTCTCCAAACCCTGGCATAGTGCAAATGTTGGTTTCTCTATTCGAACTCGGACGAGGTTGATTGAAATCTTTATTCCGGCATACGTTTCGGCGGGATCGCCTTCTCCAGAGCCTGGGAAGATCTAAGCAATTTATGACTACCAGACCAAACGCTTCAACCATCTTACGGAAATTCGAGACCTCAGAAGCCATCACGTAAGTGTAAGCTGGGCCACTTACCGCAGATCAGTCCGGTGCCCGCGACCACTGAGAAGCCAGCAGTGGTCCAGTAAGCACTTCGGACTGGATGCGATTCACTCACTGGTGGAAGGCAAACCTTATATACGGCCTTAGCTCCTGCATGATTATGAGGCATTCTTCCCTCCGGTTCATTTTTGGCCTAGTGACCTGAATCCAGAATGTCTCTAGATTCCACAGAAATTTGGCCGCAAGTGCTGTGCTCTCATCTTCAGTTGCACAAGGGTTGTTCGCATGACCTGACGTCCTCGTTTCTGATGAGTCCATCCGCAAGCCTATCTCAACATCCTCATTTCTGCATGGTGAAGTTGTCTCATAATTCTGCCCACGGGCCAGTACTCGCTGTCGGAGAGCGTCGCGGGCCTCACCACTGCTCTATAGCTTTCCTTTGAGCCTACTGGAGCACCACTGGTCACAGAGGATTGCACTGGACTCCCTCCATTCCATGCCGCTTTATTCGAGCCTTTGTAGCTTAGTCACATTTCCGCCTGCACGTAGGCTACTTCCCAGACATCGCAGATTCCAAAAGTCCTGCACTAGTTCGAAGGCTTCCCGAGACAGTCTACAACGGCTTCTGCGCAGTCTTCCGGGACGAAGAATTCGGTCTGTCAGAGCTTCCTGGAGCTTGTCCTCGAGCTCTCGCTGCAGAGCGGCGTCATCAGCCCATAGGAGGATCTTTAGTGGTCCATCCAGAAGTTCATTTGTGATGACATCGTGAGCAGGATGAGGAACGGGCTCAGGACTGATATTTGATGTACCCCAACCGTGACGTCTACGGCTCTTGTCAGGTCGTAATATTAGTGTATTGTTGTCCGGACTCATCCTAAACATATATCATCCTAAACGACTTAGAAGACTAGGTGTCCCTTACCGGCTCATTCTCGGAGCGCTCTTTGGAGGACTTCTCCCGGTAGGCAGTTGAATGCTTTCTGCAGATCGAGGAAAGCTGGGTAGCAGGGTCTACCCTTGTCTTGATACTTCTCCATTGTATGTCTAGCTTCGAAGATGGCATCCATTCAAGGCCTCCAGATCGGAACTTCCTGATACAGATGAGGGATTGGAACAACTTACCTCAATCTTGAATTGATGAGCCGATTAAGCGGTTTCATTTCACGCGCAGTAAGCACATGCTTTCGATTTGAGAGTAGGGATTGGTAACAAACAGTTGTGAACTCTTGTCCTAATCAATAGAGTCTCCCGAAGTGATTCTCTAGTTAAATGCTAAATTTTAGAGGCAAGAATTTTAGGATGTCTCGATCTATGCTATACTATCACGTCTACGGGTACGTAGCGACCTAAGTATCGAGTTTGCAAGTTTCGAGGTCAGTTTCTTCCCTTTTAATCGTTTGTTTATTGTAGAAAGGATCGCGTCGTTTAATATATTATATTCATAAGGGCTCAGGTTTCCCTGATTTCTCAATGCAAACTACATGCTCCCAAGTTTGCACTCGATGTTCATGGTTCAATTGTACGGTTGAGTCTTCTGTAGGGTGGAAAATGAGGCAGGCTCATGTTGTGTTTATGTTCCTCAAAGAAGACCCGCAGTTCAAAGTCTTTTTGATTTCAACTTCACTTTTAGCAGCTTCCTTTCAATAGAAGGAAGCTGCTAAAATTAGTCACTATGGAATCGAAGAGCGAATATGTGCGTTTTGTGTTCGCCATTAATCGAGCAGGTATTAAATAGTGGCAGTCACACTGGAATAGTATTTACTGCATTCATTTCATCATGGTTCAGAAAATGCTGACTTTAAGCAGTTGAAGTTGAAGGTTAGCGCTAACCATTCGTCTCCATTTCTAATTTTTCGCAGAGATATGGAATCCTAGAGCTTGCTAGTTGTGCATGTTCGAAGCGTTCCAGTTGGTGCTTTTAGTCGTATCTGAATTGCTTACGATCATCTGACAACCTCTGCTACCTGCTTCTCTCCATTCAAGTCCGAAATTCGTTGATAAAGACTCATTGAGCAAAAATCATTTAATCAGAAATGGTGAAAAGTTGAAGCTGCTTCAGTCAACTAACTTTTTATTGGGTTGTCCGAAAAGTCTCCGCCGATTTTCGATACCTTGGATTTATCAACTGTCGTACGAAAGATCAAGGACCCTACCTCATAAAGTTATATGTTTCATGAAGGTGTAGGCCCTCCTCCATTTCTGTTGGGCCTCTGTCAACATTCGTCAAAGTTTCTCTGTACAGGACTCATGTGAAAATATAGAACCACTGCGCGCATTTTCGGCATCTGAAGTATTCCTTCCAGTGCAAGGCCTAGAGTGCGGCTCAAGCCGCAAGAAAGATATATGACGTTTGAGTAGACCATGCTCTAGAGGAATGTACCGTGCGTGACTAGTTTGCGAAATCCAGTCGGAGTAAATTTACTATCGAAGACCGGCAACCCTCAGGAAGACTATCATCAGTTCAAACGACCAAATCAAAATGTAAACCAAAGCGAATCGGCACATCACTACTCTTGGAGTAGGATAAGGGCTCAATGTTTCGAAATCAACCATCCTTGGTCATCTGCAGAAACTTATTTTCGTAAAGCGCCTTGATGTTCGGATATCTCGCGAAATGAGCGAGCGCAATGTGATGGAACGCGCCTCCGTGTGCGACTCGTTGCTCGAACGAAATAAAAATGAGCTGTTTCTGAAACACATGAGCACGGAGGACGAAAGTTGGACTTCGCACAACAGTGAGGAGCGGGAACGATCATCGAGTCTCCCTAGTGAGCGTCCCAAACCGCTGCAAAAGCGAAAATTCAGGTGCGGAAGACTATGCTGCATTGCTGGTGGGATTCCAGGGGAATCACTTACCATGGGCTGTTGTCGCATAATCAGACGATGACTTCGGAAAGGTACTATAATTAGCTAGAACATTTGGAGGCAGCGATAGACCAGAAGTGACCCGAACTGGCCAATCGTGAGGGTGCTTTCTTCCAACAGGGTAACTCCAGATATTTTTGGCCACTAATAAAATATTGCTAACGCTTGGGTGGGATGGCATACCACACCCCCCATATAGTCCGGACATAGCACTATCAGAATACCACTTGTTCAGGTTTATGCGGAATTTTTTGAATGGAAAATTATTTAATTCGCTGGAGGACTGCAAAACGCGGGTTTTTCGATTTTAAGTCGGGAACCTTCTATGAGAGTGGGGTGTTAAAACTTACAGGAGGATGGCGAATCCTTACTGAACAGAGTGGAGGGTATATTGTTCAATCAAAAGATTTCTTCTTCTGGGAATTTTCATTCAAAGATGAATCAAAAATCGGCGGAAACTTTTCGGACAACCCAATAGTGTTTGTGTGTAATCCCTTTCGAACTTTTATGGAATCTCCAAAACAAGAAAAAACTGCTTTTTCCGCTCTGCCGTTTTTCTTTGTTTGCATTCTGCAAGTCGACCACAATTTCAGTCATTGCGCGTACATTATTGAATGTAGATTGGTTTCAATTTGAAACACTTCTCTCAGATGGTGGACAAACTGTACAAATACAATGATTGTCCTTATGCGACCTGGACAAAGCGTAAAGATGAGGTGAATGCAGCGACGAGCAGTGAAGATAAAACAATGATGGCTTTCATCAAAGATGTAAGTTTGCTAGTTTCCTGTTCAATTCGACTTCTACTAGATTGATGCATAAGTTCCCCAACACCCGAGGGAGAAAACTCAGTGCCATTATAAAAACAACAGAAATTCATGGAAATAGGCTTCGTTAATAGCCGAGGTGTACGTAGGTTCCCAAGAAACGTGAACTGGCATAGTGGCATTAAAGGTCAGGGAACTGCAGATAGTCGTAAGAATTGAGAATTGGAGATTTTGGTGTATATATATATATATATATATAT